GTGTTCACAGTGTGTGTGTGTTCACTGCTGTGTGTGTGTGCACTTTGGATGGTATAAATGCAGAGCACTAATTCCGAGTATGGGTCACCATACTTGGCCACATGTCACTTCACTTTTATGTCCGACAAGCTATGCCGCTCTCATGCCACACATCATGTTCTCATGCAGTGAAAAACACATCGCAGAGCAAAGAGGAAACTCAGGTCTCAGCTTTCAAATTTCGTCATTTTTAAGAAATTCAAACAATAAATACCGTTTTGCGGCTCTTTAATGTGTCGTGACAGATCACTGTAGTGCTTCAGTCCAAGCAGCACGTGAACCGATTATCTCTTCCTCTTTACTATTTATAACACGAAATAAACATGAATGAACATCAGAAGGTATTTTGTTTCAAAGACGTCAATACACATCATTTTTCAAGTTGAAGTCCAACGACGTTAATCTACTCGCCTGTCTGGTTTGTTTGTCACACAAAAATTATGATTGGTCAGATCGCCTGTCAATCAAACTCCCTACGAAGGGGTGGTAGTCGCACCGGCAGAAAAAATGGTCGCAAAGTCTGGAGCCCTGTATATATATATTAGGCTATTATATAGTATTATAATAGCATTATATAGTGGTTCAATGCATTATATTGTGTTTTTTTTGAGTCACAGATTGGACTATTTTTTCGGATAAGCAAGAAAAAAATATTTAAAGCACAGAGAATGACAATGCCGTGAAGGGATTTTGACATCTAGGCTAATTTTATGTGTGTAGGCCTATGTATACGCAACTCGGTATTTCCGCGCTGTCTGAAACACGTCTCTATGCTAGTGCACGCTTTGATTGTGTGCGAGCACATCGCATGAGTAACGAACTGTTTCGTTTCTTCTTCTTGTGGTTTAAAATTGCTTGTACATGTAAATTGGCAAATTAATCTGTGAATCACGTCTCATCCATACCTATTACAGATCAACTGCGATCCGTTTAACTCCTAATATGTGACAGATCAGAGCAATCTTTCATTTACTTATTTAACATGAAATTGTCTACTTGCTGCTCCATATCAATCACATACAAAGATAATACAGAATAATTAAAACAATCATTAACATAAATAAATAACAGAGTGTCATATCTATACACATTTTTCCCAGAACGTTCTTGCGACCTGGTAGCAATTCTTCCGTGGCCCGGTAGTGGGTCGCGACCTGGTGGTTGGGGACCTCTGCTTTAATGTGTTGTGACATATAGTTGTAGCGCCTCAGTTCAAACGGCACGTGAATTGATCATCTCTTCCTTTTTACTAGTTATAGCACAAAATAAACATGAATTAACATCAGAAGGTATCTTGTTTCAACCACGGAAAGACATCAATACACACCTTTTTTCAAGCTCAAGTCCACCGACGTTAATCTATTCTCTTGTCTGGTTTGTTTGTCGGACAAAATGGCGGATTCAGCGTTATGATTGGTCCAAATGCCTGTCAGTCAAGCTTCCGGCAAAGGGTCAATTGCAATGACAGAAAAAGGACATTTAAAACGCAACTACAGGAAACATACATTTCTCTGTCGTTTTCTCTCTTCAGAAGACTGAGAGAATGGGACTTGTCTCTTCCCTCTCCTGTCCACAGCAAAGTCTCAGAGGTGTCAGAGGTAGGTTGAGCTGGTAACTTTGACCACATCACATCACTATGGCCTTGTTTACATCTGGTATGATGAAACAGAAGTAGTGACAAATATTTTCGTATTTTGCCAAAGTCGATTAAATCAATGATTTCATGACTACTTACTTTTTTTTTTGAAGCCAAACATCATCAACAATTTTTAAAACCTTTGTTTTTGTACAAAAGATGATTGACAGGAATGTGGGCGGGCCTTCGACTTGTGACATTAGGATTTAAACTACAAATGCAATATAGTAACATTTAGCGACTACCTCCGAATGCAGTTTAATTGATCGGACAATATTTTTGTTGGACACTTGTATTTATCAATGTCAACTTCTTGTCAAATCATTAGTACTAGATATAAATGAGGCCTATAATCTTCTAAACCTAGTACACAATCATAAGCTGACTGTGTGGACATCCTGTTTACCGATAGCATCCCCAGATGGACCACTTCCCCTGCTGTACCGAATTGAAGGATCCTGATATCAGTAATGCTCAGATTGTAGATGTCCATCCGCAGTTCTCCTCATTGTAAGTAAATTGTAGGCTCTATTCCTGGAACACTCTGGAATTTCTGGAATGGGAAGTCGTAAAATTCTTTATAAAGAGATAAATAGAGAAGTTTGGGAGATAAATGTGATAGCCAATTATTTGTTTTTCCATGCAGCGATTCAGAAAATATCTTAACCGCTGTTGCCAACAACCAGTACAGAGAAACCGAGGGCACTGGAGTGATTTTGCATGTTGATGATCCATGCCTTGTGTCCTTGTGTTCCTCTGGGAATGCAATGGGAAGAAATGGTCCATTTCAGCCTCGTACCACCAACTTCCATGACCCAGTTCTCCCATGTTCAGAGGGATACATGCAGAATCCTGGAACTTCTGTTGGCACTACCCAGAATGCATCGCAAGTGGCTTGTTGTCTGAATGTAGAAATGGGTGATGGGTACATGAATTGCCCTAAGCCTGATTTGATCTCACCTAAACGAAGGACAAATTTAAGACAAGATCCACCTTCTTCAGGAAGTGCTCCAGGAAGACTCTGAGTGGTGTATATATTTATATATTCCACATACTTTCAACTCATCTAAAAGAATACAAACATGTACAAAGATATCAAATAACGAAGGAAATCACAGAAACTCATGGCTGCTGTTTCTGCAGTGACCACCAGAGTGTAGTACAGTACTACATAATCTACTGTAGTTTGAGACTTTGGGCGATGCCAGGAGTGTGCAAGCCTACTCCTGGAGATCCACTGTTTTGCAGAGTTCAGCTCCGACCCCAATTAAATATACCCCATGAAACATGAAATCATGAAATGAACATGAACAAAGTGAAATCTCCAGGCAAGTGTGTTGGGGCACATTGGAGCTTAAATCATTGGTTTTCGAGGAGCAGGATTAAACACCCCTCAATCACCCTTTGCTTTATAAGCTTACATGCACATTATTGTTTCACTCAATAAAATGTAGTTGTCTGCCAAATATATCTCTTTAATCTTGGATATTGTGTCTTGTGTAACTACTAAATATTTCACTCAGTACCTGTAAAACAGAAAAAAAACACAAATTTGATATCTCAATTATTTCTTATACACATCAATACTAAATGAAGAGCATACAATGTCTCCCGTTTCTCAGATTATTTTTCCTGAGCAAAATGCCTTGTTTAATCTTACTTTAGAGCAATGGTTCTCAACCTTTTTGACTCCAAGTGCCCCTAATTTTCCACAACAGTATTTGATGGCCCTGTGAATTTTGATAGTTGTTTTAATCCGTAATCTGTTATCTATTTTATTTACTGGATAAGGATTAAGGATAAGGATTTTTAAGTATATTTTTACTCACAATTTATACTCTATAAAATATTTTAGAGCTTAACTAGAAGAAATGTGCTTTTGTTCTAAAAAAAAAAAAAGCCTATGGCATTTTATTAATGTACATGACTTTTCCTGGTCTAGAAATCCCACTTTTAAAATGAAGCTACCTCAAATATCGTGTTTTTCTCAAGGAACCCTGGTTCTTCAAAGGGAGAAAAATTTGCCGAGGGGTGAAAAAATTTATTCTTATTTTATTGTTTGTTTTATCTTACTGTTGATCATTCTAAATCATTTTGGAAGTTTCCTGAGGTCCCCGGTTGAGAACCACTGCTCTAGAGTTTCAGAAGAGATCTCTACATTATCTCAAATTGTGATTTCAAAAGAGATTTCAATATGAATTTCTCAGCAAAAATATTTGTGTCTTCAGTCTTGTAGCTAGTTTTATTACTTTAGCTCAACAGATAGAGCGTTGCGCTAGCAATGCCAAGGTCATGGGTTCGGTTCCCAGGGATGACATACTGATAAATTTATTTTAAGCTTCTTTGGAGAGAAGTGTCTCTCAAATACAAATGATTAGAGTTTGTGTTATGTGGCTCTTTTGATTTCTAAACATCTCACTCTACCACTCTTAAGTTGTCACCCCTTGGCTGTTCTTTCATTGTGTGTTTTCTGAATGACTATAGAGGTGTGCAGTGAACAGCTGTTTGACTCTTAAGAATGAGTAATTACCATTCACTCTCTTATTTTGAGACGTTATGTGCATGTGCGTGTGTTTCTCCAGGCAGTGAAGGTCTGCTTGTCAAAGGAAACAGCTGTCATTTGAACAACGGTGCGACTGCACGAAAATAAAGAGGTAGAGATAAGGCGGTATGGAGATATACTCTGTCACGCTCTGTAAAAATGAACGACAGAACAGAGATTCACTTTCAAAACTAGGTTGAGTTCAATCAAAATAACCTTTTAAATGTGATCTGTGTCTGTGTGTCACCTAATCTGATGGATGGATATCTCGCCTGTATCTTCCACACCTGGCTGTGGGCTGCAGGCCAAAAAACACACATACGCACTTCTATCCCACTAGGTCAGAAGTTGCATGTAAATTCTTCCAAATATCCCGCAAGATTTGTGGTAAAATTCCAACCCGATCTCACGAAAGTGTGTATAAATAGTACGCCAAATAAAAACAAAACTCATGGTATTGATACGCAAAAATGTACTTTGGCGTCTATATGCTACGCAATGGGTAGGATTAGGGTTGTGGGGTAGATGTGTATCATATGTACGCGAAAAACTGAGTATCGTATGAACGCTAACAAATTTCGTATCATATGCACGTGAAAACTGCGTATTATATGCACGCCAAACACGTGCGTATCATATGCACGCCAAAGTCAATTTTTGCGTATCAATACCTCAAGTTTTGGTTTTTATTTGGCGTACTATTTATACGCATTTTCATGAGACCGGGCTCTAAAATTCACGTTTTAAAAGTTCATAAACAACAGTGCAGGAGAAGCTACATTCTGAAGTTCAAATCCCTCTTGTTCGTCTTTCACATCTGGCTTGTTCTGAAACAGCTGTGTTTGCCACGGCCCCCTCAGGATTTATGGCCCACCTCTCCACACCTTCACCCATCCCTCGTTCCTCTCCTCCATCAGGTGCATTCTCTTCCCAACCTTTTCATTTCCTACAGTTACACTTTCACATTTTCATGCCTCTCTTCTTCTTTAATCTTTGTTTCTCAATCTCACAAAGTCTCGACCCTCATCATACCTTCCTTTAGTTCCCACCCGTCCCCCTATATGCCTCTCATGACCTGTTTTAGATCTGACACTCACAGCTGCTTCTTGAACTCTACTCCCACCATCATCCCGTCTGTTTTGCCCACTCCCATCTTTCCTTTTTCCATTTCATTCACACCCTTCCCCTTTTACCTTGTTTTCATCAACCACCATCCATTTCTCTTTTTTTTCGTTGCCCCATGAAGCTTGTTACAGCGATACAGTATATCAGGAAAAACTGGATTTTGTGAAGACATTGCACCAATGTATTATCAGTAGGCTGAAGCAGTGGTTACCAATCCTGGTCCTGGAGATCCCCATTTCAGAAGGCTCCCAAATCAAACACACCTTCATCTCATCAATTCAGTAGTAAAGACTCCAAGACCTCAAAAGTGTGTCATATAAAACAGACATCAAAAACATGCAGTTTTGGGGGTTCTCCAGGACCAGGATTGGGAACCACTGGGCTACAGAAATGGACCATCTAAAACGGAGGTCTCCAAACTCTGTCCTGGTGTGCCGGTGACCTGCAGAGTTTAGCTCCAACCCTAATTACACATACCTGAACCAGCTAATCAAGGTCTTATTAGGCATACTAGAAACTTCCAGGCAAGTTGGAGCTAAACTCTGCAGGACACTGGCCCTCCAGGACAGAGTTTAGAGACCCCTCATTTAGAAATTGCTGTGGTTATTAGGTCATGACTTTGTTTGATTCTTGAATTAGAGGCATTTTTGATATGAAATCTTAAAACTTCATTGTTTCATAAACAGACTTTGTATCATATATGATGAAATATCACAAGTCTTGGAATAACTGGATTTTGGTATAATGTCACCATATGGAGCAGAAAAATTCTCCTAATTGGAGAATCAACATGTTCTGCAACATATTCTGTGACTGTAGATGAAGTTGGAACACTGAAGATAGCTTATATGCCTCTCACAACCTGTTTTAGATCTGACACACACAGCTGCCTCTTGAACTCAACTACCACTATCATCCCATCTGTTTTGCTCTCTCCCTTCTTTCCTTTTGCCATTTCAGAGCACCTTTAACTATTGAAGTCTCAAAGGTATAGTGCATATTTAAGAAATGGTCATAAAAAGTGAGTTATGACTTTCTGGTGCAAAAAACACACAAACATTGTAAGCCATGTCATAATTACCGTGATGGTCTACTTGGAGCTGTTCCAAGTGGACTCGGAATTATATGTGACCCTGGACCATAAAACCAGTCTTAAGTCGCTGGGGTATATTTGTAGCAATAGCCAAAAAAACATTGTATGGGTCAAAATTATCCATTTTTCTTTTATGCCAGAAATCATTAGGGTATTAAGTAAAGATCATGTTCCATGAAGATATTTTGTAAATGTCCTACCTTAAATATATCAAAACTTCGTTTTTGATTGGTAATATGCATTGCTAAGAACTTCATTTGGACAACTGTAAAGACGATTTTCTCAATATTTAGATTTTTTTGCACCCTCAGATTCCAGATTTTCAAATAGTTGTATCTCAGCCAAATGTGCTATCCTAACATACCATACATCAATGGAAAGATTATTTATTCAGCGTTCAGATGATGTATAAATCTCCATTTCAAAAAATTGACACTTAAGACTGGTTTTGTGGTCCAGGGTCATATATGAAGTTCCAAATGTATCCTTTGGAAGAGCCTAATCATTCAGTCCTGTCAATAATCATTAGGAGCCTATATAAGCAGCACTCATTGCACCGTCCCAACAACAATTCTTCCGGCATCCCTCCACTTCCCCATCTCCTCCACTATTTCTGTTATCCTCCCTGCATGTAGTATCGCAAAGGGGGGTTGAACTCTGAGCTCAATCTGAGTCTTGGGTTCAAGCCTCCATTAAGGACAGCAAGCCAAGTTCGTTTACCATTAACCATCAGGACTGGATGGGTAGACGAAATCGCTAAAGTATTATAAGCCATATCGTAATTACCTCCAAAACTCTGAAATGACAACACATGACGTTCTACTCGGAGCAGTTCCAAGTCCTTGGACTCGGAATTATGTGTTTCTATGGCAACACTGTCAATGCCAAAGTGCTCACATGCTTGGAGAACTCGTAATTACAACTTGTAAGCTGGAACGTTCTGAGAGCTACGACTTGGACCATGTGATCGCTGAAACCACCTGATCGATGCCAGATTCATTTAGACATTAACTAGGCACTAACTCCCAGACTGAGGACGTGGAACAGCTCTGAGTAGATCGTCACATGCTGCCACTGGTATTACGGTAATTACAAGATGGCGTGAACGCAGCTATAAATGAACCTTATTGCGAAAATTGCTTCAAAAGTGTAACATATGGCCTTTTAAACTCTTCTAAATGAGTCTTTCTCCACTCTCACCCTCCATCCCTTCTTCTCCTCCCTCCTTTTTGGTTTCAGCTGGCCATCAGAAGAAAGAATAAAAGATGAGTGTACTGTCAGTTCCCCTTTAGCGATACATTCCTCCATGCTCTATCTTTCTGATGTCTGTTTCTTGTGCTGAGACCTGTCATAGGCCTTGAACACAACTGAATTTTGGCGTATTTCCAAACTCAAGCATGTAGTGACAGCCAGAAAATCTTCTGATGTACCTTCATAGGCCTCCATTCAACTCATTTTGCATTCCTCTCACTGTTTTCTGAGAGCCTGCTTTTGTTTTAGTGATGATCGGTTGACATCAGGGTGGGAATTTAACAGCCGCCACCGTAACACCTAGGGTGGTTGCCAGGGTGTTATGCAGTTGACAAGATGTCCTAAGTGTTTTTAGCACGTTGAGATGCAGTTTCAAAGGTGTTCTGAATGTGTTTTAGCACATTGCTCTCTGGTTGCTAGGCATTCAAAGTAGTTTATACTGAACGAATACATGTAAAAAGCTTGTT